TTCAAATTCTGCTGGATCAAAAATGGCGCAGTCAATATTCGTAAACAGGAGGGAAGCCCTCCAATTACGATCCGGAACTCCTCCGACTTATTACGTCACTGCCCGCCTGTTGCACAACCTCAAGCAGACGTTTAGCAATTCACAAGACGTTGTTTACTTTATTATAACTACACCGGCTTTTGCGCATATTTTATATTTTATATTAAATTTAGTTTTAAGTTACCAATTCATTCTTATATTTTACCAATTCTTGTCAATTGATTTACGCCAAAATAGGTATAGGTCAATTTTATACACACACAAAATAAAACACACACAACTCACTACACTATACACAAGCAGTTACAATGAAATACACACCAACAAAGATTTAAAGTTATTTTCACGAATTAATAACAACATTGCCACTCTTGCAGCTGTAAGCAACTTCAGTAACAGAACAATATTATTTTTTGTCTTAATATTTATTTTAATTAAACATGGATTTACTTAGCATTGCTAATGATATAGATGAATCACTGGCCATAGACTGTCGTAGTATAGACTCTATGGAAAAATGCAAGTGTTCTTACTAATGATGAGCATAGTTTAAAAGTTTTGACATTCAATATACGAAGTTATCAACGTAATTTTAACGATTTTAAAATAGCTCTCAAACGTTTGGACCTGGATTTTGATGTCATTGTATTGACGGAATGTTGGCTGTGTGATGGTATCATTTTTGAACCATTGGAGGGTTACAAAATCTATCAATCCTTATCACAAGTAAACAAATGCGGTGGGATCGTCGCTTACGTAAAAAACTCATGGAATAGTGAAATTGCACCTCAGGTACATAAATTGGATGACGCTGATAGTCTCCTCATAAATATAAATAACGACCTTACAGTCCTAGGAATTTACCGCTCTCCTTCCTTCTCAAATACCGATCGATTTATTTCCTCTTTAGACTCTGTACTCTCTGACATTCAACACAAACGAACCCTAGTAATTGCAGGTGACATTAATATTAATATAAATGATCCAATGAGTGCACAAGCAGCCAACTATTTATGCTTGATGGCATCTCATGGTCTATATCCAGCGATATCAAAGCCAACTAGAGGAGCCTCATGCCTTGACCACATCTTCATAAAATCTGAGACAAAATCCTCAGGCCTCGTCTGCAAATCATCTATTACGGATCATGATTTTGCTCTGGCTGAAATTCTTTTGCAAATCCACCGACATACAAGTAAAGTACGCATGATACGAAAAACAGACTGGGAGTCGGTTGCCTCATATATCAACAGTTTGCACTGGAATGAAATAACAAGCGAAAATAATGTTAACACCGCCTCAAACAAATTTAATGATGCTATTACATACGCAATCAATAAGTACACGCAGGAAGTTAAAGTAGGTCGCAGAAAGAGCAACATAAAATGCTGGATCACCCCTGGATTAATAAGATGCATGAAACACCGGGACAAATTGCACCTTGAGTATAGAGCTGATCCGAATAACCAACGTAAATTATTGGTCTACACGCGGTACAGAAACTTTTTTCACACTCTACTACGGAATATTAAAGCTGAACATAACAGAAAGGAAATTACTGAAAACAAAGACAATGCACGTGGTCTTTGGAATAAAATTAAAAGCCTATGCTATAATTCTACGTCAGAGTCCCGCCCCACAAATCTTATCAAGGATCTAAACAATCCAACTTCATCTTTAGACCAATGTAATCACCATTTCGCAACAGTAGGGGAGGTCTACGCTGAAAAAATTTTAAGTAACTTAGGCACATCTCAAGACCAACTTATCAAGAATCACAGATGTTCAAAATCTAACCCAAATTCTTTCTATCTGCATCCTACTGACGAACAAGAAGTGAGCCGAATCATTCACAACCTAAAAGCCAACAGTTCCCCAGGATTAGACCATGTCACTGTTACGCTGCTTAAAAAGTCCTGCAGTAATGTTATTATTCCTCTCGTTCACATATTTAATTTAAGCCTAGAAAAGGGAGTTTTTCCAGAATCCTGGAAAACTGCAGCAGTGTCACCTATTTTCAAAAATGGCTCTCCAACCTTGCCGGAAAACTACAGACCAATCTCTTTACTTAGCATCATATCGAAAATTCTAGAGAAGATAGTGAATAGGCAACTTGTCCGTTTTCTACATAAAAATCGGATTATCTCGGATAAGCAATATGGTTTTCGACAGGGAAAATCGACCGACGACGCTGTAGCAGCACTAGCTGACCAGATATCACAACACGTGGAGAGTGGGAAATGTTGCATAGGTGTTTTTCTCGACTTATCGCGAGCTTTTGACACTGTCTCTGTTGGCCTCCTATTGAAAAAGCTAGAAGCCGCTGGAGTAAGAGGAAATACACTTCAATGGTTTGAAACTTACCTTAAAATGCGAAAACAGTGCGTAAAAGTAGGAAAACACACTAGTAGGCAACTGCATGTTAATTTTGGTGTTCCCCAGGGCAGTACCCTTGGACCTACTCTCTTCACTTTGTACTTGAACGATATCCTCGAACAAAAATTGCCTAATTCAAATGTAATCGCTTACGCAGATGATACAACCATATTGTTTCACGATACGACATGGAGTCGAGTATACAGTACCGCGGAACAAGGCCTATCTCGGATTGCCATGTCCTTAAATGTAAATCTACTTACACTAAATCAGAAAAAGACTACATACATATGCTTTTCTAAATCTAGACGAACGAGTCCTCCGATTGCTATTCCTTTAACAATTCATTACTGCAGGAATGATTATACCTATCTGCATAGCTGTAACTGTGAACCGATTGCGCGCTCTAAAATGACCAAATATCTTGGAGTTATCATAGATGAAAACCTAACGTTTGATGCCCATATTTCAAATCTGTCTTCCCGTGTGCGAAAATTCATTTTCATTATGAAAAAACTGCGAGTTTGTACTCCTGTGGATATAATACGTCAGGTGTACTTTGCACTATGCCAATCTATACTGCAGTATTGCATTTGTGTTTGGGGCCGCGCTGGGAGGACTGCATTTATGACATTGGAAAGGGCTCAACGTGCATTAATTAAAGTAATATTGAATAAACCATTCACATACCCTACCAACTCCCTGTATGAAGAATTTAAAGTACTACGGGTACGACAGCTGTTTATTTACAATGCCACACTCAAAGTGCACAAAACTGTAAGATCTCGCCCGGATTACAATGATTTAAGAAGCAAACGAACCTTTAGAATCCCCGTTCCAATCGTAAAGTCAGACCTAGCTAAACGTTGTCCCACTTTCACTCATCCCTTCATTTACAATAGAATATTAAAAATAATTGACCTTAGAGACCGCTCCTTTTCCTCATGTAAAACCTTACTAAAGAACATGCTCTATACTCTAACATATAATGACACTGAAGAGCTAATTAAATAGCACATATGACAAACACACACACACACACACACACACACACACACACACACACATACACACACAGGCACGCACGCACGCGCCACACACACACACACACACACACACACACACACACACACACACACACACACACACACACACACACACACACACGCACGCACACTCATACTCACTCACTCACAAACTGGACTCGATCGTACTCATTCTAATTTCAACTAATACAGAGTCATCTACAAGCGCTATAATTAATTTTTAATTTTAATTGTGTAGTGAAATAATACCACCATATTATTTGTATTAGAAACATTATTTTTAACCTCCGATATGAATCATGTTATGTTAAAACTACCGTATAGTATATGTTTAAGTAAATGTTGTCCAGTGACAAACCATTTTGTAATATCGCATGCCAGGGTCCTGAGATACAAGCTGCGCTTAGTTTAGGACCCGCAGTTACCTGTGTTTTTATACTTATGTTGTTAAATAAATAATTAAATTAAATAAAAAAAATAAAACCTTGCACGAGCGACACATTTGCCGAATGATTTAGAATACCTCTTTAATATAAAACTTTATGTCAAAATGTCAGAATCAAGTAATTTTCCAATAAACTCTGTTTTAAAACTTAAAATAGTTTGTAAATAATATGAAAACATTTATTTTTTGTTCTTTGGCGCGCTTGTACAAAGTTACATCGTGCGTCTAGTTTTCATAGTGATGTGCTTGATAGTATTCGGTCCGAATTCATTGGAATAGATATGATATTTTATTTTATTTGGATATTTTTATTTTACTTATTCCTTCGAGCAACTAGACTATAATGCTACCATTTTTTTGCGTCTCCTAATTGCACTGTGTTGCCAGTATCTCTATGATTTTTAAGATTTATGTGTGCTCCAAAGACAGAAATACTGTTTTCTATGATTTAAAAATAAATACAATTAAAATGATTATGTATAATTTTTAACATTCATAATATATAAAACAACATTTAATAAATATAATTTTCTCCCTCAATTAAGCAATGTTATAGGTGTATTTTTTAAGTAATTGGCGATACTATTCTGGCAACACCCTTACCACCGCTATTTTAATCTGTTTAGTCGTCTTCCGTACTCTCGTGCGCACAGACTACGTTCTCTTGTGTAACCGTTGTTTTTTGACTCGGCTTACTCCTGTTTATCGTTGCGCTTTATTGGACTAATTTTGTTTGTGTTTGGTAATTTTGTTGAAAATGCCGAAACGAGGAAAAACATTGAATAGTCAATGTCGTGAGCTTGTACTAAAGCTACAGGATTACTTTGAGCGTGAGTCACAAAATGGCGGCCCTTTGATTCCTGTCACTCAAGTGAAACTTGGGACAACGTCGTTTTTGTTGACGAAACATGGTTAAATGCGAACCACACTGTGTCACGCTCTTGGACTGACGTAACAAAAGCATCAACCTCAAAGGTTCCAATTGGAAAAGGATCGCGACTGATAATTTGTCACGCCGGTTCTGCTGGAAGTGGTTTCTTTGAAAATGGACTGCTGGCTTTCGCGTCAAAAAGTCTTCCGATTACCACGAGGAGATGGATACAGACACTTTTACGAATTGGTTCGAAAATCAATTATTACCCAGCCTGCCAGAGCCTTCTATCATAATAATGGACAACGCTTCATATCACTCGAAACAAGTGAATAAAGCGCCTACTCAGGCCGACAAGAAAGCTGATCTCGTAGCATGGCTACACCAAAATGGAATTGAAACTACTGCCGAAATGCTAAAGTCTGACTTAGTAAAGTTGGTATGCGAAAATAAAACATCAAGAGTCCGTTATGAAGTAGATGAGATAGCTCTAGTACATGGACATCGAGTACTTCGAATTCCGCCTTATCACTGCCAGTACAATACCATTGAGCTAATATGGGCACAAATCAAAGGTATTCTTTTTTATCGCATAAGTTATGAATATGAATAATTTGTACTATTATAACATCCAATATTCAGCATATAAGTAAAAAGATACATAACTAAGAAATAAATATCTCATGTCCCTTACATGTAGGTAATTGTGTAACATTTCGTTTATTTAATGTAATAAATTAACGTTATTTAATGTTTACATTACAGGTTACGCAGCTCGTAATAATACGACTCCGCCATTCAGTACTAATAAAATGATGGGTCTATTAAAAGATGCTTGCAGCAAAATAACGAAAGAAGATTGGGTCAAGGTCGTCGAAAAGACTCGAAAACTAATAACAGAAGATTATGAACGCGATATAAGAGTGGACACCATTATAGAGAATGAAATTGTCATACAAGTGACTGATAGCGATGACAGCTCTGGCGAATCTGGTTCAGAGTCTGAATAATTGTTTTAATAAATGATAGGTAGTCATTTATTAAAACATCTTGTATCTACTCTATTCATTAAAATGTGTAACAGTGTTTACAAATTTGTTTTATTTTGATATGTCCTCGACCAATTATCTACGTCCATCAAGGATACTCCACCTAATAAAGAACCTGTGTCTTTAACTATTATTGTTTTGATTTTATTTTATTACACACTATACTAGAATATTTAAAAACAAACTGTTCCCAAATGATATTAGGGTTACTGGTTCAGTCACTTCACTAGTATTGTCAATTCGTCATGTGTCAAATCGGTAATAACTCAGCGGCCGGACTATAGTCATAAGTTTATTGATAAGACTGATAAGAATATTGCTATTAGTTTTTGGCTAGGAGTTCACATTTTTTACTGTGTTCATTTATATGTCCTACTACCACATAACAGCGTTTAACAACGTTGTAAAGATCGGGAGTGTGTCTACGAGGGTTGCGTACCTTATACTCAGAATCACCAAACGATATTCGCTGAAGGTCATAAAGGTTTAGGCACCAACCTCGGCACACCCCGATGAGGAGGTGGAGTAAATGTATGAGGATATCTCTAGAGCCATGCATTCCTCCAAAACCCAATACACGGTGTTAATGGGAGACTTCAATGCAAAACTAGGCACAAGAGAGAACAGTGAGCTGAAAGTAGGGAAATTTGGAGTAGGGCAACGGAACCCAAAGGGCCAACAGCTGGCCGACTTTATGGAGAAAGAGGGACTTTTTATGATGAACTCTTTCTTCCAGAAGCGGCCCCACAGGAAGTGGACCTGGTCGAGCCCCGACGGTACGACAAAAAATTAGATTGATTTCATTATGACGACCAGACGACAACTGTTCAGTGATGTCTCCGTGATCGCGAGGATAAAAACTGGTAGCGATCACCGAATGGTTAGAGGCACACTTAACCTAAAAGTCAAGTTCAAGAGGTCACGTCTAATGAAGTCAACGCTCCGTCCCCCTTGTGCTCTTATCCAAAGTCGCGAAATCTTTCAGCTCGAGCTACGAAACCTGACCAGTTGTGCGAGGGAGAAAACTTCTTCTAAATCGCACAATGGTAGACCGCCAATCATCCAGATGATATGGATGGTATCGCGAGTTGTGTCACGATGTGCGATGGTGAAATTGAGCGGCTGTAATTAGTCCGAACAATTCCTCAGAGCACTTCCCATGATTGATGCGATAAAATACGCAAAGAGATGCAACATCCCTACGCAGTGCCAGTTATCGAGCCGATCAGAAAGAACTCGGTCGTCGACGATTCGAACCGCTCTGCGCCAGTTGCGGTCAAGTGGAATGAGCTAGCACTGGGGTGCCCCGGCCCAGAGATGAGAACAGTATTAAGAACAGAACAAAAAATAAATTCATTGTTAATTGCAAATTAACAATTTAATTTTTTATAAACAAGAGGAGGCAAACGAGGATGTGACTACCGCCGCTCATGAACAACTGCAGCACCAGAGGAATTGCAGGTGTGTTGTGAGCCTTCACACTCAACAACTATTCAACTCGGTTGGGCAGCGTTCGGGAAATTACGGCACATTTTCTCGTCAGGTATACCTCAAAACTTGAAAACAAGACTATACAACCAGTGCGTGTTGCCAGTGATGACCTATGGAACTGAGACGTGGTCCTTCACTGCTGACTGGATGAGGAAGCTCAAGGTTGCTCAACGAGCTATGGAGAGGGCTATGCTCGGAATTTCTCTGCGTAATAAACTTAGAAATGAGGATATCCGCAGTAGAACCAGAGTGACCGACATAGCCCAACGGATTAATAAGCTAAAGTGGCTATAGGCTAACCATATAGCTCGAAGAACCGACAACCGATGGGGAAAAAATGTTCTCGAGTGGCGGCCTCGTACCGGCGGGCGAAGTGTTGGGCGTCCCCTCACTAGATATAGATATAGAGGGAGTGACGACCTGCTAAGATATGCAGGAAGTCGATGGATGAAGGAGGCTCAGGACCGTGTTTTGTGTTATTCCTTGGGGGAGGCATATGTTCAGCAGTGGACTTGTGAAGGGCTGTAATGAGGATGATGATGCGAGCCTTTTAGAATTCGTATCGGTCCGGAAAAATTACCGGTGGCAAACAATTCCACAGAGAAGTTGTACGAGAAAAACAGCTGCTAATAAAATGCACAGTGGTGGATCGCCAAGCATCCGTATGGTGCAGATGGTATCATTAATTTTGATGCGTTGTGCGTTCCTGTAATTTTGCGGCTGGAATCAATCCCAACAATTTCTCACAGCAATCCCCTTGGTAGATGCGATAGAAAATGCAAAGGGATGCAACATCCCTACGCAGCGTCAGTGAATCGAGCCATTCAGAAAGAATTCGGTCGCCGTCGATTCGAACCGCTCTGCGTTGGATACGTTCAAGTTGACGGAGCTGTCACTGGGGTGCCCCGGCCCAGATATGAGAACAGTATTGTATGTGAGGCCGAGCTTGCGCTTTGTAAAGTAGCAAGCGATGTGCCGGCATGAAATCCTGTTTCGCTCTGCTGAGCACTCTAAGCTTTTTAGAGGCCAATTTGGCCTTCCCTTCCAAGTGACCACGAAACTGCACACTATTCGATATTTCGACGCCGAGGACTCCGATGCTAGCTGAGACAGCAAGGGGAGTGCCGTCAAACTGAGGAGATACTACAAAGGCGTACTTTTTAGCAGTAAATGCGCAAACTTGTGTCTTCTGAGGATTGAATTGGACTAGACTTGATTGAACTTGAATTGACAAATTCATTATGGATTAATTTTACTTCCTATAATATTTATTTTTCAAAATTTACTTTTACAATTATTATGTGATAATCTACATATTGAATAATAATATCCTATTCTATATTACATTTTATCTATTAACCTGAAATAAGCCCTATTTAAGTTATGTTAAATTATAATTACTCGTAATTAGGCACTAATAAATATTTTAGTATTTGAAACTTCCAAAACTCTTATAAAAATGTACAGATCCTTTGAAATTACGATACTTTTTAAATTAAAGAATCTTCATTTGCTTTTATTCTATTTCAACCGTCAGACAGTTCGTAGCGCAAAATACAGACTAATTTTTAAAACTCTCACATCCGTAGCGAGTTGAAACCTTAATTCGTTTATACCAATTCACTTTATTCGTTTCAAGCGAAAAGAAAATTGTTTAAGTCCGTAAAGCATATTACGCTATGACTGTTCGTAACAACTTCACAGTCACGTGAATCATGAACGAGGTAAAGTTTTACTGCAGCTGTATTATGGCTGCAGTACGCATGGGTCAGCTCGACTGGAGCAAGACTACACTCTCACGATACCAGTGTAAAATAGTAGCATAATGCTGCTGTGTTCTTATGGTGAGTAACGAAAACAGGATACCCTTTTCACTGGTAACAAAGTATTTCATCTAAACCCTCAAGGTTGACTATGCATCTGTATTTGACTGGCACAAAATTTGACTTGTGTGAATATAGAATAAGTACACGCCTTACTTGCACATGTTAATTAACTAAACATTTTTTCCCCATCGGTTGTCGGTTTTTCGAGCTATATGGTCAGCCTATAGCCACATTAACAGTGGTAGAGCCACGCGGCAGCTTTTGCTGTCGCAAGGATGGGCCGGCTAAAACCGGGGTGGTACCACGACCTCACAGAATACCAGCGTGAAGTAGAGGTTTACCTCTGCGTTTCGCTTGGTGAGTGCAGGTGGCCGGAGGCCCTTTTTACTGGAAATGAGGCATTCCATCTTAGTCCTCACGGGTGACAACGCATCTGCATTTTGATTCGCAAACGAGGATAGTTGTAGATGTCTATGGGCCGCAGCAACCACTTACCATCAGGTGGACTGTGTGCTCGTTTGTCACCCTTATACTAAAAAAAAAATGTTTGCTGTACCAAGAATATAAATGTAAACAATGAAGATTGAATGAAATCCGTGAAGGCACTTGCCATTAAACTGCATAATACGTAAGCAGACTGTGTTTGCCTATCGCGAAGACTAAAGGAATTGCTAATTGTTAAATGCTGATTTACCACTTGCTCGTCGGTAACGAAAAACATCGTGAAGAGATGAGTAAATAATGAAATACTTATCATCTGTCTGATAATTTAAAAAAATATAGTGCAAGAACAGCCGATTCGTATTGGAACATAGCGGGGTTGAACTCTTTATTGCCCCAAAATCCTCTCAGCAAATATGGGAGGGCTTTTCTACGCAATGTATTAGAACTGCTAAAAAAAATTTTATTTTTATTTGATAACACTATTAAAGAATGAATTTGACAGAGTGGACAGGAACGTGTTATGGCAAACACTGAACTCATTTGGGTTGAGCGCTGGCTTGATACAGGCATTAAGGTCTCTTTATAGGGACTCTAGTGCTTGTGTCAGGATCAACGGGGTCTACTCGGACTGGTTTGGCATTCATAAAGGTGTCAGACAGGGATGTGTGGCTTCCCCGTGGCTGTTTAACCTATTTATGGACAGTTGTTTGCAAACTCTGAAAGTTGAAGAATGTGGGTTGAGAATGGGTGAGTCAACCGTCAAATGCCTTTTGTACGCCGATGATCAAGTCATATTTGCATCGTCGGCGGCCGAGTTGCAAATGATGGTTACTTTAATGAATTGTTCATTGAAAGAAAGGGGTATGAAAGTGAACGCAAGTAAGACGAAAGTGATGGTTTTTGAAAGAGAAGAAAGTAAAACTTTATGTAAAATAAGAATAGAAGGGGAGTTGATTGAGCAAGTGGATGAGTTTGTATATTTGGGATGTTTATTTAGCAGGGATGGTAGATATGATAAGGATATAGAACGACGAGTGAACGCAGGAAATAGAGTGAATGGGGCTCTACACGCTATTGTGAGGAGTCAGAATGTGTCAACTAAGGCACGTATGGCAATTCATAATGCTGTGTTAGTACCCACTTTAATGTATGGTAGTGAAAGTTGGGTCTGGCAGAAGAAGCATGAGAGTAGAATAAATG